TTCGACTAAACCCATCGAAAAATGAAACAAAATATATGTTTCCACCAATTGTATGTTCTTCGAATGGACCACATACATCTGAATGCACCACTTCGAGGATGCATGATGATCTCATTGACATAGTCGAAACGAAGTATTTCTAGATTGCTTTCCCACTAAACAACCTTCACAAAGTTTTTCAGGCATCTCAAGGCTTGGAATACTAGTAACCATATCTTGAGTAATCAGTTGATTAAGTGATTGAAAGTTCAAATGTCCAAACCTCAAATGCCACAACCAACTATCCTTGTGATCGACAATAGTTTTCAAACATTGAACTTCTGTCGAACTGATCATAGTCTTAAATGTCCTATTCTTCGATAATGGAGATTTTAAGACCAAATTGTTCTTGGTGCCGAACAACTTCAAAACTCCATCTTTCATGACAATTGAGAAACCTTTTTCGACTAGTTGTCCAACACTTAGCAAGTTGCATTTCATTCTAGGTACATAGATCACATCTTTGATCATAGCTTTCCCTCCATTACTCATTTGAAAGACTATGTTGCCAGTACCTTCTGCTTGCAACGAACTATTATCAACAAGTTTTACCTTGCTCTTCTTCGACTCGTCAAAATCTGCCAACCACTCCTTTTGACCAGTCATGTGGCTCGAGCAGCCTGAGTCGAGAAATTAGATCTTGGATTCGACATGGTTATCTGCAACTGCAGCCATAACCACCATACCACCTTCAGAATCATCTGAATCTTGGCGTGCAAGGTTCGCTCCTTCGTCCTTGCCTTTCGATCCCTTGTCTTTTTTGTACCAACAATTCTTGGCCAAGTGTCCCCACTTTTCACAGTTATAACACTGCATACATTCCTTATCTTCTTTGTCCTTTCGATAGTTTCCTCCTCCCCTTTTCGAGGATTCATAAGACCTATCTTCAACCTTATTCTTATGGGGATTCGACCAAGACTTCTTGCCATGAGTCTTGTCAAACTTGCCTTTAAATTTGTTGTAACCACCATCCTGTTTCCATGATTGAGCTTGCAGTTCCTGTATCGAGTCCGGAACTCCTTTTCTTTTGATAATCCTCATCTCATGCGCCTCCAACAAACCAACCAAATCTTCCACTTTAGTGGTTTCAAGATTGTTAGATTCTTGAATAACTACGATAACGTGATCAAAGTGAGAGGTCAACGTTCTCATTACCTTCTCAACTATCATCTTATCGGTAATGGTTTCACCATAATCCTTCATGAGATGGACGAGTTTTTGAACCTTCAACACATATTCTGTAACTTTTTCATCTTCTCTCATCGACAACAGCTCATATTGTCGATGCAAAGTTTGTAATTTGACAATCTTGACTTTCTCACCTCCTTCGTAATACTTCACCAGAATATCCTATGCCTCCTTCGCTGTTTCAGCATGAGAGATTCTGTCAAAATTAGCAATATCGACAGCCGTTTGAATGCAATAAGCATCCTTGTAATCTTTCTTCTTGACTTTGTTGTGGGCTTTTTTCTGTTCGTCAGTTGCATTTGCAGCCAACGCATAAACGCCGTCGGTAACCACTTCTAGGTTTCATGGAAGCCAAACAAGGATTGCATCTGTTTTTTCCATCGAATCCAATTTTTGCCGTCAAACATTGGAAGAGAATTCAGAATGCCCTTATCCCTAGCCATCTTCGCAGCGGTTGATTCATTTTCCCTAGAAACACGATCTCTGACGTGAAATTCTTGAAAACTTGATCAAGAACAATAACCGGAAGCTCTGGATACCAATTTGTTAGTGCGTGAAGCACTTTTAGTGAGAAGAGAAAGAGAGAATAATAAAGGAAATAAAGATTTATATTATTGAATTATATTAAATATTAAATCTAATCAAATAAAATCTAATTTAATTTAATATTTTAACAGAGATCAACTCCAAAATTTAATTTAATTTTCTTAAATTGTGTTTTATGTAAGAAAAATATAAAAGGTGGAGTTAATTAATGCAAGTAGTATATATATATATATTATATATATATATATATATATATATATATATATATATATATATATATATATATATATATATATATATATATATATATATATATATATATATATATATATATATATATATATATATATATATATATATATATATATATATATATATATATATATATATATATATATATATATATATATATATATATATATATATATATATATATATATATATATATATATATATATATATATATATATATATATATATATATATATATATATATATATATATATATATATATATATATATATATATATATATATATATATATATATACTCTACCTTTTCATTACAAAACTGTGACCAATCTCATTATCTCAATCTCAAGAATCACAAAAAGATTAGTAGTGAGAGAAGCTTCAAGATAATGGTTTCTCTATTAGTACTCCTAAGCCTCACAAAATGTTTATGCTACCATATCGTTAAATCATGTTATCAAAAAGCAAAGAAAATGAGAACTTATAGTTTCAATTTCTTTGATCTTTCATCTAAACCACTTCACCAACCTTCATCTTTTCCTACTAGCATGAACTGTGATTTAAAGGATAGAAAATCACAAGCACTTGTTTGTGACATTCATAGTGTCCTATTAAAAAACCATTCATTCTTTCCTTATTTCATGCTAGTAGCCTTTGAAGGTGGTAGCATATTTAGAGCTTTTATATTACTATGTTCATGTCCTATACTATGGTTTCTGAGCTACGAACGCAAGCTTAAAGTCATGATCTTCATCACTTTTTGTGGACTTAAAATAAAGGACATGGAAATGGTTGCTAGGGTTGTTTTACCAAGCTAAGTCTCAAGCTATAGCTACTTCTCTTTGTTAAATTTTTGTTAGTATTTATTTTTGGTTTAGTAGTTCAATGATAGAAATTTCACGAGGCATTATCCAAATGTCACGAGGTATTTCAAAATGTAAGTATGAAAAAGTATATAAGACATTATCCAAATTCTATCCATTTTCATAGCTATCCAGGAATATTTTTTTTAGCAATAATAATATTTTGGAAAAAAAATACAAAAATAATCATGTTAAATTGATTCCCACTAAGAAATTTAATTACAATTTTAATTTCATATTTTAACTAAATTGTAAAGTTAATCCTATTATATAAATTCAAATAGTTTTTAATTTCTTCTAACATTTTTCTATTTATAAGTATTAATATATTCATTTTTAAATCACGTGTTAATCCTAAAATTTAACATCTAAACGCTTTTATCAATTTTAAAAATATAAATATAAATTAATGTAATTAAAAAACAGTCATGAGATCAATCTTTGATATATTAATATAAAGAGAGATTAAAATTATTTAAATTTAAAACAAATTAAGAACACTTGAATGAGATGATAAATAATCTCTTTTTTTTTAATAAAGATCGTGAATTCGATATCAACGAAATTTTTTGATATTTATTATAATTCTATTCGGCTCGAGAAATTAATTTTGATAGATAGATTTAAAAATAATAATAATAACATTAAGATGAATTGTAATTAAGCCTAAAGAATATTCAAAATATATCAAATATGTTAATATAGTATTTACTACTAATATGTTACGGAGTATCATGAATTACAAATATTTAATTAACAAAAAATAGCTTAGTACTCAACTAATAGCATATTCCACATTATATATAGGCAACTGTACGTTTTATGTTGATGTTTGCCATATTGACTATAATTGGTACTATTAATATATTAATAGATAGATGTGTTCGTAGTTAAGTTTGAATCGATTTTAAGATAAAAATTCATCCGCTTTAAAGATAAATTTATTTGCGATTCAGTTTGGTTTTAGATGATGTATTTAAAAAAATTCGATCCGATCTATTTTAATGTGATTTAATTTGGATTGATTTTTGATATCTAAATTACAATTTTTTTTAAATATATATATATATATATATATATATATATATATATATATATATATATATATATATATATATATATATATATATATATATATATATATATATATATATATATATATATATATATATATATATATATATATATATATATATATATATATGAAAAATTACGTCAATACAGAAATAGAAGGCAAACATACAATACACTGGGTCGTTATTCCTTTTTAGATCGCAAAACTAATTCTCTTAAAAACTATATCCATAAATTTAGAAGATACAACATTACTATTTATAAACCTTTGAAAATTATGTAAAAAATCAATTGCAAAAGATACAATATTAATATTTTTATAATATTATATTTATTAATATTATAAAAATACTAATAAATTATAACTTTAATATAATAAAATAAGAACGATCGATTATGATTGAAATATATGAAATAATAAAAATAAATAAATTAAACCAAGATAATAAAAAACATTAAAAAAATTATTATTTAATAATCTAATAATAAATTCATATAACATATTATACTAACAAAAAATAAATAAATATAAAAATATATAAATGTGATTCGGTTCAGTTTGGATCGATTTTGAAAAATCAATCTGAATTCGATCTAAATCGTGCGGTTTTCACAAAATAACATCCAAACACATCTAATAAATTTTAATTTTTTAGGATTTTTGAATTTTTTAAATTAGTTTATAATTTTTATTTGAATTGATTTAGATTTGAAGACTCCTAATCCCATATATATATATATATATATATATATATATATATATATATATATATATATATATATATATATATAACTGTTTTTTTTCCACTATATAACAACTGTCTAACTACGTTATTACAATAAATTGTACATCTACAATTTCATTTTCCTATTAATTATTCCATCTTTTTCGTCTATGTTAAGAAATTAATTATTCCATCTTCTTTTTCCTTTTAAAGAAATTAGTTATTCCATCTTAATTCTCATGTAACTCCAGCAATTATGATAATGACAGGAAGCTTATGTGGTGGTGGGCAATGAAATATGTCCAAACTCAATCATGCCAAGAGAAAAATATCCAAAACCATTAATTTTCCCTACACCTTCATCAACTCTCTACATGTTCATGTGGCTTCCATTTGCAATTCCATTATCAATTTATAGATTACTTCTTGGTATAATTGTTTACTACAAATATGGACTTGCATGGGTTTCATTTAGTGGCATTTTAATAAATCTCAAAGGCTATAATATTAGTAACACTACAAAAAGTGTTACTAATAAAGGTGTTCTCTATGTTTGTACACATAGGACATTATTAGATCCTGTTTTTCTTAGCATGAGTTTGAGAAAGCCTTTGACTACAGTAACTTATAGCTTAAGCAAAGTCTTTGAGTTTATGTCTCCTATTAAGACAATGAGTTTGACAAGGGATAGAAAAAAAGATAGAGAAACAATGCAAAGGTTACTTAGTGAAGGTGATTTGGTTGTTTGTCCTGAAGGAACAACTTGTAGGGAGCCATATTTGTTAAGGTTTAGTTCACTTTTTGCTGAACTTGCTGATGAGAATGTGCCTGTGGCTATGAATGCTAATGTGAGTTTGTTTTATGGTACTACAGCAAGTGGATTCTAGTGTTTGGACTCTTTTCTTTTTTTGATGAATCCATGGCCTTGTTATAATATTGAAGTGCTTGAAAAGGTTCCAAGAGAATTCACTTGTGCTGGTGGAAAGTGTCCTTATGAAGTGGCTAATTATATACAAAGAGAGTTGGGTGAGACTTTGGGATTTGAGTGTACCAATATTACAAGGAGGGATAAGTATATGATGTTAGCTGGGAATGAAGGTGTTGTTAAAGAAAAGAAGTGAAAAATATGGTGTTTGAAGTTTCATATTCAAGGAGTGTAACTACTATGTTCCACTAAAAGGGTGAAATAAAAAGAATGTTGTTATGTATATACATGTAAAAAAGTGAAAAATAATGTAGTATAAAGAATGAGATACAAAAGAATCCTAATATTGTTGGATGAATGTATATAATTGATGTTTACTATATTTTATTCTGAAGAATGATATATCAAATTTGAAATTTAAATTTGATACTTAATATAAGAAAATATCAAATTAGCTATGTGACTATGTCAGGTGTTATTCATTTCGCAAAATAATGCATTTGCGGAGTGATATTCACCTTATAACACAATTTAAAAAAATTGTAAGGTTTTCTATCTCGTAATAGATGGGGAAAATTTAAATTTTTTGAAAAAGAAGGTTGCGAAGTGATAAACACCCCGTAAATATTTTTAAAATATTTGGGGGCAAATCCACTGATGCAATTACTGCTGAGTCAGTGGTAGTAGGTGACTTGCATTGTCACAAAGTTTGCGAGGTGAGTTGCACCCCACAACTCCCAATGGTAAAAAATGTTGTGAGGTGTGCAACACGCCGCAATCGTTTTTGAAAAATTTGGGGGGAAATTCTCTGGTACAATTACTTATGCGTCAGGTGGCAGGTGAGATGCCTCCAAATTCTATGTATTGTCCTTTGCCTCAATCTAGTTAGCGCACTTCATCATTCGCTTCGTCGAAATCATAGCTCATCAATGGCTTGTTAATTGCATTACTAGAATTCCAATCCCATGTAGAATTTTCCTCAGTCACAATATCTCGACCCAACACAATCTTCTCATTAACTGGATTGAATAGCTTGTATGCACCCATCTTATGATATCCTACTAGAATCATAGGTTCACTCTTGTCATTAAGCTTCCTTCTTCTCGCATCAGGAACGTGCTTTTAACACATAGATTCAAAAACATTCATATGACTCACTGATGGTCGTTTGCCACTCCACACTTCTTCAGGAACCCTGTTATTCAATTTCTTGGTAGGGCACTTGTTCAGAATATAAACTACAGTCAAAACAACTTCTCCCCATAAAGATTTTGGAAAATTCTTCTGCTTTAGCATGCATCTGACCATATCTAATATGGTTTTGTTTCTTCTTTCTGCAATTCCATTATGTTGAGGCATATAAGAATCTGTTACCTCATGATCAACACCATGGTCTGCACAGAAATTTTCAAACATCTTGGATGTGTATTCGCCACCTCCATTTGTTTGCATAACTTTGATCCTCTTCTCACTCTGGTTTTGACAAGCATCTTGAATCTCTTAAAGATTTTGAATACTTTGTCCTTTCTCTTGATCACATAGATTCACAACTTTTTGACTAAACTCATTGAAAAAAGAAACAAAATATTTGTTTCCACCAATGGTATGTTCTTCGAACGGGCAACATACATCTTAATGTACCACTTCGAGTATGCAAGATAATCTCATTGGCATAGTCGAAACAAAATAATTTCTGGATTGCTTTCCAACAAAACAACCTTCACAGAGTTTGTCAGGAATCTCAAGACTTGGGATAGCAGTTGCCATATCTTGAGTAATCAATTGATTGAGTGATCAAAAGTTCAACTTTCCAAACCTAAAATGCCATAACCAATTGTCCTTATGGTCGACAAAAGTTTTTAGACATTACACTTCAGTCGAGCTGATCATAGTCTTAAATGTCATGTTCTTCGACAGCGGAGATTTTAAGACCAAATTGTTCAGTGTCAAACAATTTTAAAGCTCCATCTTTCATAACAACTGAGAAATCTTTTTCGACCAGTTGTCCAACACTTAGTAGGTTACGCTTCATTCCAGGTACATAGAGTACATCTTTGATCATAGCTTTCCAACCACTACTCATTTGAAAAACTATGTTGCCAGTACCTTATGCTTGCAACGAGCTATTATCAGCAAGTTTGACTTTGCTCTTCTTCGACTCGTTGAAATCTGCCAACCACACCTTTTGACCAGTCATATGATTCGAGCAGCCTGAGTCGAGAAATCAGATCTTGGATTCGACATGGTTATTTACAATTGCATCCATAACCATCATACCTTCATAATCATCTAAATCTTGACGTGCAAAGTTCTCTCCTTCGTCCTTGCCTTTTGTCGATCCATTGTCTTTCATGTACCTATAATTTTTAGCCAAGTGACCCCATTTTTCACAGTTATAGCATTGCACACATTTCTTATCTTCTTTGTCCTTTCGATAGTTTCCTCCTCCTTTTTTCGAGGATTTAGAAGCCCTATCATTGACTTGATGTTTGTGAGGTTTCGACCAAGACTTCTTTCCCGAAGTCTTGTCGACTTTGCCTTTGAATATGTTGGAACCACGATTCTTTTTCCATGACTGAACCTACAAAGCTTGTATCAAATCTTGAACTCCTTTCCTTTCGACAATCCTAATCTCATGCGCCTCCAACGAACCAACCAAATCTTCCAATTTTAGGGTTTCAAGATTGATGGATTCTTGAATAGCTACGATAACCTGATCAAAGTGAGAGGTTAACGTACGCATTACCTTCTCAACTATCATCTTATTAGTTAAGTATTCTCCATAATCCTTCATGAGATGGACAAGTTTATGCACCTTCGACATATACTCTGCAATCTTTTCGTCTTCTCCCATCGATTCTAATTCATATTGTCAATGCAAGGTATGAAACTTGACAACTTTGACTTTTTCACATCCTTCATAGTATTTGATAAGAATATCCCATGCCTCCATCGCTGGATAAGCATGAAAGATTATGTCGAGATTTTTCGTATCTACCGTTGTTCGAATGCAATATGCAACCTTGTAATCTTTCTTCTTGACTTTATTGCGAAAATTTTCTATGCTTTGGTTGCATCTTCAGCCAACCCAGGAAATCCTTCGGTAACCACTTCTAGGGTATCATGGAAGCCAAACAAGGATTGCATCTGTTTTTTCTATCGGATCCAATTTTTACCGTCAAGCATTGAAAGAGAATTTGGAATGCCCTTATTGTAACACCCTTCTAAACCCCACAATTAAATCACGAAATAATTAATTAATAAATCACGCAAAACACCAAAAGGGTGTCACATGCTTCATAAAAACATCATGCATACACATCTTTCTCTGTAACACGGGCTTCTCAAAGTTTTATATCATTTCTTTTCATAATATCAACACCTCAATAAATTACTACGCAGCGGAATTCATAGTGTCAAATAAATTTATTCATAACATCCTTCAAAATATCATCATCCTCATCCATTCATGAGTTGTGGTTTTTAACAACTTAATCAAACAAAAAAACTTAAAATTAATTCAATCAATAAACAAATGTCCACATCAAACGTTCCCAACCCCGATGTTACATATCAGAGCAAGACCTTCTAAATCAACGGAAAAATAAAATAAATAACTCCAAATCTATCATTGATGCTTCTTCGAGCTATTTCTGAGTATCTGCATGTTACCCACGTGGAGGCAACATTCAAACAGAAAGGGTGAGTAATCACATTCATTACAAAAGATATACAGAATAGACGTAGTAGTTTAAACAATCATTATCATACAATCCATATATCACATATCATCAACATCACATATTATACTCACTTTTTCATATCATCACAACACATCATTGAGACATCATTCAATTCACAACAACAACATAATCATTAATTCATCAACAATCATTCATCAGGCTTTACTTACATCATAACATTATCAAACATCATTACAACAACAATTATGCAATGTCACATAAGATGTAATGCAACAACATAGACTCATTCATGTGGTACCAATAATTATGATCACCTAGCCCATCACCCTCCAAGGATCCCACCATAGGATTGATCCCCTCTTTGAACTGGAGCACAACATAATAACACACATAATCCACACAATGGGATTGAGGCCAACACGAGACCAATGTCCAAAACTGAGCGGACCAACGTCCAAAGCATGCCAGTAGCTTCTGTCTTGAGTTTTGGCTTGTCTCGCCCGGCTAGTTGGAGGCGGTGTTGTGGCGCTCTGGTCGCCCAGAAGTGCATTCTTGGTGTCGGGCGGCGGAAGATATTTTCTGCATTTTTTGGCTGTCACGTGCTTTCACATGGGTGTTAGCTGGGAATTTCGACGGCTCGATATATCGAAGAGAGGTTGAGTTTAAAGGAAATATTAAATTTATTACCTATGGTCTTTAAATAACAGACCTATTGGAAGTAAAAAAATACTATGTATCGACGAAGTCTTATTATGATGGAATGTGTGATACGGTGGGAGAACTGACTTGTGGTTTTGTGTTTGTGTTTGCAAATGTTTCGGTTTAGCAAGAGTCGCCACCGACTTTTTATTTTATCCAAAGGAAAGGTCAAAAAGCACAGGAAAGACCTTTGAGATGTTTTCTTGAGTTCGGGGGGTAGATTATGAAAAGGGAAGGTGTTAGCACCCTTTTCATCCATGGTTTTCTATGGGCTCTTAGTTATTTGTTTAGATCACTTGTTTTTGCTTTTCAATTGTTTGAAATGGTGCTTTGTGTGTGTTTTTGAAAGTATTTTGAAAAGAGGCCATCATTGTGGAAACCTTTGTAATGATTCTTGTTTGAATGTGCACAAAGGTGTTTTGTCTTTTGAAAAATGTTTCAATGTTTGACAGTTTGTTTTGGGAAATGTTTTGAAATTGTGTTGTGATGTGTTTTTGAAAACAGCAAGGATGTTTGCAAGTTTTTGTTCAAGTAACTAAGAGCATCTACCCTATCTACTCAAAGATCTTTCCTATATATTTTTAACCCTTTTACATTGTTGTTTTACCATTGTATTTGGTAAACAACCTTGTATTTGGATGTTAAACGGGACAGGTGCGGGTCATCGTATTGACCATGATAGCAATTATGCTAAGTATCTTTAGCAAGTTTTTTGAGGGACTAGATCATTTTGTTTAGGCAACCAAGATAGCGTCATCGAGGGACTATGATCTTTTGTTTTGTTTTTGTTTTA